ACATACACACACACACACATACATACACACACACATACACACACATACATACACACACATACACACACATACATACACACACACACACATACATACATACACATACACACACGCATACATACATATACACACACACATACATACATACATACATACACACACACATCCTGGGATCACTCTCTGACACACTGTACCAGCCATGCGAATGTCAGTGGCGAGGGCATCACTACGGAATGTCCTAGAGGTAAGACCATCCAGAACAGGAACTCAGTATCAGCATCCAAATAACAGCCTTGTTACATTTAAATCCCAGACTAAGCCAGGAACTGCAGCTGAAAGAGGACAATTTTAATCTCAATATTTACAAATGTATTGCAGAGGGTAAAGACTGAAGATTCTTTAAAGCAGAATTTAGTGTTGGGTTCAGAGTTCTGTCTTACTTGGCTGCTTGGGGATGGAGGGACCCGCCCCTCCTTCAGAACCTCCTTAACTCGGTAACCCTAACCCATAAATTACAACTTGTGGGCTGCCTGCTGTTTTTAGTGGGCGGGAGGTGCAGTGTGCCTCGGCAGTCTAGACCAGTGGTCACACAAGACTGTAACTAATTTTGTGCTACAGGTCATCAGGATGGGTCTGCCTCAGAGTGGGTCATGTGACCAGCATTCAGAGGACGCTTTGAACTCACCAGGAGGTGTCCATTTGCATCTTTGACAGCAGAACAGAATTGTACTTCTCTAAAGTATGTACCTATTCTTAGACATGCACACACATATATATATAGGAACATGGTGTGATTTTGTTGTTGAACATACACACATTCACATACATATACTCATATGATGTCTGTACTGTGTAAGAAAATGTTCCCAATACCATCAATTTCCAGGGTGGGGGAGCTGGCCAGGGGTGTTGTATTGTTTGGGAAAATCAGAGGAATGTTTTTCAGTGCAGAGAGATATTGAGAGTTAATGGTGTTCTCACTAGCAGGATGGCAGGTCAGCACAGGCAATCTGAGGGTGTATTTGAGTGTGGTTCCTGTTCACACTTATACGCCATGAAATCAAAAACACGGAGAGACAAAGTCCTCCAAATCCTCCCTTCTGTTTTTCCCTTCACTGACAGTACAAAGGGTTAGGAAGCCATAACCACACACCTACAAAGACCTACAAATGCACCAGTGAGAGAGAGAGAGAGGGAGCGCATAGCATCAGAGTCAAAACGGAGTTCGTTTCAATGGCTGTTATTTCACCCACATTATGTTTATCCAATGATGTCACCCTTGTTGTGGAAGTAACAAGATGCAGCTCTGAACCGTGTCTCTGCTGAGGTCACACTCCCGAACACATCCTCCATTTGGATTTGGGAAAACAAACTTTAACAAAACGATTAGCATCCATCTGATCAGCCGGACTGTTAACTGGAGTGTTTTGTTAAAGATACCTATAATAACTCAGTATTTCCCAAAGATATATTTCGAGCGATCCTAAGCTTTCCTTAAACAGAAAGCTTACGGAGTATCTCGGTGAGAATCATATTTTAAGATAGAGTGGTTTTGGATTGTGGAAGTGCTGAGCTACGGACAAAGTAGGAGTGAACAGCGAATACAGAACAGCACGCCGCGTACGTCGGATTCAACAGCTGGCGCCAGGGATCGCGGCGGTCCTGAGCCACTGACGATCAATGAATAAAAAGGTCCAGCACCGCTTGTCCTGCGCGCTGCTCACTTCTGCTGCTGGAGACGGCTGTGTTAGAAGCAAATATGCCTGAAATGTGAATCACGGCACCGCCAGAAGCAAGAGGGGAGCAGGGAGACGAGACAGACAAAAATCATCATGAATTTCCTACACGCTAGTTTGGCGACAGCTTTCCGGAACATTGTGTTAATGATTAATATGAAGTCAGAGAAATTCCAAGCTTCTCTTTTCCTCTCCCGCTCTCTCAGCCTCTCTCCTCCCCTCCCTCTCTCACGCCCGCCCTTTCCATTCCCTTCAGGCTTAGGGATTGCCAAAATCAGCGCATACAGTTGTCAAGGTAACCCCGGAATAATCTATTTACTTAGCTCCCTCCTCACCAGCCAAGGTCAGATGTCCCGCAAGTACACCTCATATCACGAAGGGTTTGTGCAATGGTTAGCAAAGCACACAATCTCAAAATAATGTTTTACCAAGAAAAGTGACAAAGAAGGGATATAATGCAACTTTATTAAAGCACAGACAAGGCAGAGAGCATGCATCTTATTTTTCCTCAGAGATGCACCATTTGCTATCGAATTCAAAAGACCCTCACTTATAATGCCAAGAATGAGTTACTGTTGAAACTCCAGGTAGGAGCGTGTGTGCAGCGCAGAGCAGAAGGTGCTCAACCAGCCTGCACTGAGCCATGCGTCTCCCCAGTACGTGACCCTAACTTATTTGGGGTTCTTCTCCATCCCGAGCCCTGCTTCATAAATCAGTCTGGATCACTGATTACGCGCTCAGATGTCTCTCAGTAAAACGCCCCGACGCAGGCGTCTTAATGCATGCTGGTGGTTTCCCTCTAAGGAGACCACCTCCCCCGGCCCTGCCCTTTCTTGAACCCTGGGGCCCTCTGTAGGAGGAATGGATGCACAGCCCCTTTCAGCAGAGAAGCAAAGTGAAACAGACGTGCCCATTGCCCCCAGGTCATGTGGAGACGAATCCAAAGGCCGCTTATGAGACACAGAGCCTCACATTGTGAGTTTCTCAAATCTCTGATCTTTGCCAACTAAACAACCCCCCCCCCCTCTCTGACCTGTTTGTTTACTGTCCCGCCTGTCTCTTCCCTCATGGGGCGGGTTATACCACTATGATCGGGGCACTGAAGTCACTTAGTAACCCATTACAGACACAACAGTATCTCCACCAGGACAATGCGCA